AAGAGTGGAAAATGGCGGTCACTCTGCTCCTTATATACTGCTAGTGGGGAGGGGGAGCAGAGTCCCCGCCGAAAACGAAACCGTTAGCTATCAATCTTCCGGCCAAAGGCACTGCGCAGATGCAGAACCCATATGTGTGATGCACAGAGACCACGACGAAGCTGAACTTTTTTCAATGAGTGCCAGATTCCACTTTTGAAAAGATCTTAGGAGTCACATGCCTGTGGTTGGCACAGTCAAAAGCAAAATGGGCAGGGTGAAAAAACAAAATGAAACAACAACAAAAGCCAGTCTATTGTAGCTTACTACTTGCACACAAGGCTTACAAGAGTTTTGGAATGGGAGAACCCCCTGCACAGAGTTCTGGAAACCAGCAAAGGTTTGGTGCTTGGGGAAAGGGATGGGGCCAAAGGAAGGACTCTGGTCTTCTGGGGAATTGCAGAGGGTTAACTGATGCCTCCAGAATTTGTGTCTTTTGGATATGAGATTCTTGCTTAAGAAATCTTACCTGAAAACTAGTACCTATTGACTAATTTTCTCCTAACAGACCCATTTTCTTTTTCTTTTTTAAGGCACATGTGGAGTTCTATAATTAATACAATTGACATTTTAAGCAAAGTTTAGAAAATGCATTCTAAGCAGTGTATGTGTTCCTTCTCTTTGGTGTAATTTTAAGTTGATTGCAAACATGACATTTACTGAGAAGAAACTTTACTGGCTGCAGTTTAAATCTAAACTTTAAAGTTGCTGTAATGGTATGGCTTGCTTATTTATTTATATATTATTTCTATACCATCCCGCAGCTGAAGCTCTCTTATCAAGTTTGCTAATCCTTCACAGTTATAGAAATGGAAGGCTCAAGTAATGAATATCTGCTGTATCAAATGTACTTGCAATAAAATATTTGTGACACTGCCTCTTTTGTAGAATGTTTGAGATTACTGCTAATCTAGTACTTGCAGAATATGAAGATGCATTTTCCATTGATGTCTGATATTATTAAATGTTTGTATGTAATGAAAAAGAACATGTTTTAACCCCCATCCTTATCCTCACCTGCTATGAAACAAACTGCATGGTATATACCCAGCATGGTATATGCTGGGACTCAACAGGTGTTTCTCTTTTCTTCCAGATAAAAAATATGCTTTTAAATGAGCAGCTGAAGGTGGGAAGGGAGACATGGAAGTCAGTATGGTTAACCTTTCCTTATTGTCATTTCCACAGTGAAATATTCACAAAGGTGACTGCATATCTGGAACCCCGCAAGGACACAAGCAATTTGGAGGGGACTGATCTTTTCATTAAAAATAAAAATGTAACACATTTTAACATAGAAGCTACATGTACTTGCATGTAACATAGCTTGCTTTTCTTTTTCCAGTCTGGGAAATATTGTTGCCCAACTGAAACCTAAAAGTTTGCTGTGCGATTTTGGAAATTAGCAATTAAACAGGAAGACACAACAATTTCCAAGCTTTTCCCCACCTGCATCAGCAAGTCCTTAGAAATGCATGCTTCAGAAAAATGAGTACCTGCTAAACCCTTAGTTGCCAGTGCCCACTCCAAAATGCCCTCCCTCCCCACATCCTTAGTGGGAGAGAAAGGAGCAGTCCTCTGCAAAATTAGACCTCCTTTGTGCTTTATACCCAGGCATCCTACTGATCAAAGGCAATTAAGAAGAGTCATGCTGGATCAGACCAACACCAGGGCCACAAAACCATCCCACCTGTGTTCCCAGCAACTGTTGCAATGTGGGCACACTGCTTTTGATACTGGAGGCAGAATGGGCCTAAGGGAGAGGACTAGCTCCAAACCCCTCCCCTCCTGCCCTGCTTGCTGGGTAAGGGAAGGATATTTTGGGGTGCTTGGCCTAGCAGCAAGGCTTCTGGGGACACAGAAGATGGCACAGAGGAGGGAAGGGAAGCATGGAATTCTTCTCTGGCTCTAATCTCAGTCTGGGACTTAAAAAAATGTCTTTTATTTAAGGCCAGATTTTTCAATCCTACAAGTTTGTATCAGGCCTGTCTTCAGATAGTTCCACTGGGAATGGCATCCCCACAAATCTTGCTCTACGCTGCTACTTTCAGCTGATAAGATTCTACATGTGTCTTACAGCTAGTAGGGGACAAGGGCAGAAAAAAATAGTGTGCTGAAGAAATGGTTGAGAGTAGGTGCGGCTTTTGGATCACCCACTTAATTAAAGTAGCCTAGCCCAACTTGTTGCTCTCTTGATGTGTTGGACTACCATTCCCATCATTGCCAACAAGCATGATGCATGCTGCAGTCCAACAGACCTAATTGGGGAGGGCTGTTTCAAAGAGACTTTCAGTCATGGAACCTCGTCACAGTTTTTACTATTGTCGTTGAGTAGGGATGAATGGATCAGATGGCTTTTGATCTGTATCAGTTTGTGCTCATTTGTGTGTTTTGTCCTGTTTCCACCTAAAACATTTTTTATTCCTCTGTTAACATTCTATATTCATTGTAGGATAAAATACTCCATTTACATGCATCCAATGGCCCTCTAGATGTTATGGGTTCATAGGATTGCTCTGGCTATAGAATTTTAGGCCTAATATTTAGATAAGTGCTGAACTAGAGAAATAGATGCATTCCAATCTCCACATTAGTTTAGGAGGTGTAAATCAGGCCTGTTTGCTTCCAAATGTGGATCAAACAAAATCCTCAGTCATCCATCCAATCATCATTGATGGACAGATGAGAGATCTGCTTAGCCTTAATGGAATGCAGACCAAAGGCTAGATATGGAAATAACCATGCATAATCACTATCACCAAGTATGTTGTTTGCTCCTCTGTAGACTTTTTGCTGCTTTCTTTGATTAGGTAGAAAGTACAGCTGTCTCTTAATCTCCCCTTATGGGTTTCAGGATTTAATGCTGCGATACTGCACATTAAAACATAGTGATTCACTGTGTTAAGAATATAGTCTGCCATTATCAAAGCTATATTCGGTTTCCTGAATTATTTCATCAGTTTGGCTACTTGATCAATTCCAGATTCATTTGAAATATATATATGCATGTACATTTGAATACAAACACATTTAATCACTTGGTTGTCATGCATACATATCAAATGCAGGTTGCACAGATGAAAATGTAAAAGCTTTGGGAAGATTTTGAAGTGTTCAGACTGTGGCTTAAAATAAATATAGGGATTACAGCCTATCTGAAAACAGCTAAATAAATATTTACAATGAAGTGAAGTATCAAAACTCAGTCATGCACAGAACACATTTGAACCGTCATTTTAGATACCTATGCACAGCTCTCCAGTAACTATCTGATAGCAAGGTGGCAAAATGAAACTATGAGGCTCAGCAATCTGTTGTGTTCGGTAACTAATTTTTCAAATATTTTTCACTGGCCAGAATGACCTGTACGAAAGTGTATCACATATAATCTTTTAGAACAGTGACAGGAAAAGGTTCTAGGAACAGGAAATGGCTGTTCATCTCTTCTGATATGGCCCAGGTTGAATTTCAATGTTAAAAACTAGTTTGAGAGCTAAGTGTTGAATGCCATTTAAGCTTTGTGCTCAGAATTTGTGAATTTTTCCCATGTCCATTCATAATATTTGGAAATGATTTAAGCTTCTCCACATCTGATATGCAGTCTTAATAAGAGATCCAACCTTTTGATGAGTTGTCTGTCAGTTCTTGGTGCAAGTCTGTCTACTGGTAGCACTGGAGATACCAGTCTCTTTTTCCATTACAAGTTTGTGGCAGGGAATGCTTTTAGTTGTTCATCATAAAATCCATATAAAACCAAGCTCTGCTTCGCTGCCTACAGGGCCCTCTCAAATACTCATCCAGAGAACTCACTCCTTAGAAGTACACCTGGTAGAAAGTCTTTTTCCTTCAGGGTCAATCTATCACCGTAGTCTTGTTCCAATTCATCTCATGCCATCCTGAGAGCTTTCTCTGCATGCAGACTTTCACCAGCCAGAGTCACTCCGAGCTAGGCTGAGGCAGAAGCTTATTAGTAAGGTCTAAGAGCTATGGAGTTAACTCTTGACAGGACAGGCTCTCTCTTGCATACGTCATGTCTTACATATTTCAGTATCTCAAATATGCAAGACAGTAAATATGTACGGCATAGCAAGAGGATTACCAACTTTTTCCTGGAAGGATTTCTGTGCCCAGAGTAGACATTTTGAAGGTGAGAATCCATCCCCATCATAGAACTACAGGCTCTGGAAACTCTTTACCTGTAGAATTTACTTCAGTCATGTAGCATTGATATGTTGTTGACAATGCTATACAGAAAAGGCATATATATATATCTTACATAATAATAGAAGAGGATTCTACGTTTCTTTCCATGTGACACAGGGTTTTCTCATTTTATCCTGATAGCAACCCTGTGAGGTTGATAGACTGACAGTGCTTGCCTGGACAAAGTTTACCCTGGGAAATTCTTCCAGCAAGTCAAGGCACCATATCAGTTCCCAAGACAGCAAAGTTAACGGGAGGCACATGATGCTCTCTGTCCTTCATTAGGAGATCAAGCGCCTCTGGGAAGAAGACCTAACTGACTCTAACTGGTGCATAGGATAAACATGGAAGGTTGTTCTTGGTCTTTGTTAAAGGTTCAAATGATACAACAGTAGTTGTTAATGTGTTAGAATTATCAGTATCAAATAATACGACTTAGCAGTACTCATTATCTTGGGTTGAGACAACAAGGTTTCTAGCCATCTTCTACATTCTGTTTCTGACTTCTTTGTAAAACAAGGCAGTGGGGTAATGGAGTGTCTGCCCCAAAATGGAAACCCAACCTGCTTTCCAATACCTGCATTTCCAAATCTGAAAGGGGTTTAAAAAACACTTGGTGTGAAAAAGAATGACAAGAAAGGGCACTATAATGATTGCCATAAAAATAAACTATTTTAATACATACATAAATAAAACATTTTAGAGTAGATTCTTTTTTTCTGTTCAGCTTTCTTTAAAACACGAGTGATTTTGCTTCCATAAAGAAAACTGAGTGATTGCACAGAACCAAACAATCTCCTTTACATATCGAGACAAACAATGAAAGTAGCAATACAAGCCTGACTCCCCCCTTTTACAGTTATCTTTGATTTTACAGTACTTTCAGATATAGCTACATGAAACAACATTCTCTTAGGGAAAACAATGGACTACTAAACTATCCACATAGAAGTCACAGAAGTAAAAAGCTACAGCTATGTGACTCAAACTAAGTATGGCATGTATATATTTCAAGATGCTGCCTCTTCTGGGCCTGCAGCTGGAAGATAAGCAGTCTGCCCCACAGCTACTGCTTCCCCTTCACATGCCCTCCTTCTTCCTTTGGTTGGCCCCTTTCATAGCCAGAAAGTGCACAGCATTATCAGCTGCCCATGGATCCTTGTCTGCTACAACCAACAGTGGGGGCAGATTGCATGTATGATTCATTGGATACCATCTCTGATTGTCTCTGAATACAATCCAGTGATAAGAATACACTCTCTGTTAAGTTAGTAAGACTTTTCATGTTTCATGATTGAGATCTATGGATTTACTGGAGTCTCCAGAAGGGTTCTGATGTGCACATGGAACCCCTAATCACAGGCCTTCCATACTCACCTTAATGAATGTGATAGTCTTAGTGACATGAATGAGGAAAATACTCATCTAGGAACTTCATATACATCCTGGAGTGCATGCACACTTTTGGATTTAGACAGCAGAATACAATTTATCAGGCACTACAGGTGTTCAGTTCCTCCCATTCCCACTGAAATGGACAGAATTCAGCAGCAGTGCTTGAGAAGTGGTATGATAGAAGCCATTTTTTTTGCACAATTATATGTGGATCCTGTATGGAACTGGGCACACATAACACAGCACAGCATTTCAGTCTACATCTTTCACTAATTATAACCATATACTAACTGCTCGCTTGCTCGCTTGCTCGCTCGCCCGCCCGCTCTGTGTGTGTGTGTGTGTGTGGCTTGTTTTTATTGGAAGGGATTGTAGCCTGGCACATTCTGGGAAGGAAAAAAAATCCTTTCCAGTTTTGAAGCCAGGCAAAATTTAATTAGAAGCAGCTTTTTCACAACTCATTCAGGCTATGATGGAAGCCTGATGGTTGACTATGCTTCATCAGGACATGACAAATAAAACTCATTTTAACATTTTATCCCTTTTTGGTCTTTGCTTCTTCTGACTGTTGGAGAATAGTTATCAGTACAGTTTTTAACATGGTTACCAAAATAAACAAGTGTATTTGCATACAATCTTTTCAGGAACATGGTGATAATAAACCTTGTTTGCATGGAAGAGAAGATGGTTCAGCAGGTCCTCTAGAAAGATGTTAACTACACCACAGAAATGTTTCTGCTGCCACAATGATAGACTAAAAATGGTGATGATGCAGAAATGCTGAGTTAGCACATCTGAAAATTATGAATTTTGTTAACTGTTTTAGTTGAGTAATAACATTCTGAGCCTACACACATTTACCTAGAAGCCTAAGATTCCTAAACATAGGAATCTTTCCAGGTAAATGTGATTAAGTTTGCAGCAGAAGCCAATAGCTGAAACTATCCTCCTGCAAGGCAGTTTAAGGAAAGTCCTTTTCTCCTGTTAGGTTTCTTCTTGGTTTTATTTTTCCTGTGTTTACTTTCTGCTTTGTTCCTGTTTGGTTTCTTCCTCCTCTTCTTCTTCTCATCCTCCTTAAACCATGGGCCCCAAACCCCTCCATTAAAATTGGGGTTGCTCCTGGGATCTTTAGGTGGATAACGAACAGGCACAGCTGTCTTGTTGAACTGAGAAAGTCTACGCAATAGCTGCTTTACTACATCTGGATACTTACTGGAAAGGTCTACTCGCTCATATGGGTCAGCAGTGATGTTGAAAAGCCACACAGTTTTCCCAGCTGTCCATGAAACCCGTTCATTATGCCAGCGACTGGGGCCAACATTACTAAATGACTGAGGAGGGACCCAGTCACTGTATCCTGGGTTCCCAGTCAGTAGCTTCCAGTGGTTCACACGGATTGCTGACTGGATCGCTGTGTTCCATATCCCAAAGCCAGCTGCCCATGAACCATTTTTGGCTTTGGTGTAGATAGGATCGATGTTGTGCAGAATATCCATTCTTGGAGAACGTCTGCCTTCACTTATGGTCTCCCACACATCATAGCCATCTAGCTGGGTGTTCTCATCAATCTGTCCTTCTGCTAATGTGATCAAAGTAGGGAACCAATCTGTAATATGAATAAGTTCTTTGCACACACACCCCTTGTATTTGAGTAGAGGGCTATGCACAAAGCCAATGGCTCTAATCCCTCCTTCCCAGTAAGTCCCCTTGCTTCCTCTGAGAGGCCAGTTATTTCCACCAGCTGTGGGCTGTCCTCCATTGTCTGAAGAGTAAATTATAACACTGTTGTTATAATAACCATACCTCTTTAATGCAAGGGTCACATTGTTGATGGCTTCATCTAAGCACGCTAGCATAGCAGCATATCTGCGCCGGTTTATATTGTTTATTGATCGGTAACGTTCATAATACTTGCCTGGAGCTTGAAGTGGTGAATGGACAGCTTGGTATGCAATGTATAAAAATATAGGCTTTCTGGGGTTATGGGAGGCTAAGATCTGTTGTACTTTTTGTGTGTACATCTGTGTTGAGTACATGCCATTGTCATGGTCCCAAGCTGCATTGTCATTCTCATATAAGTCATAGCCACACATTCGAGGGCTGTCACACTTGTAGTGGGTGTAATAATCGCCACTGCCTAAAAGAGAGCCAAAGAAAGTATCGAAGCCTCGTTGTGTTGGCATGCATTCTTTGCGGTAAAAGCCCAAATGCCATTTGCCAACCATATGGGTTGAGTAGCCAGCTTCTTTCAGCTTCTGAGGTAGTGTTACATTATCCAATGGTAAACAGTTAGGCTGGGTGGGCCTTATGACAGAATGTTGAAGACCTGTGTGGATTTGATACCTGAAAGAGAGAAAAAGAGAGAGATAAAATTGCATCTTAGAAGATGGAGAAACATGAAAATTGTATGTAGGTCACAAATGGTCTGAACCAGAGTGCACAGAGTATCATGAGCATGCGAAGTCCTGTGAGTCCAACTTCCGAGTAAAGATACAAGGTGTTCCATGTGGCTTATTCCCAGCAAAGTAAGTACAGGCATTCAGGCTTTTGTGAACTGTCTAATTTGTTGCAGTTGTTTAGTTGGTAGCCTGGGGGATATTAAGTACAGAGTTAGCCTGAACAACCTGACTGAAAAAGAGAACCGCAGGGAAGGAAGCCTTCTAAAACATTAGGCCAGAAGCCGGTGTGTCAGGTCTGCTTCCCAGTCTGAGCAAACAGAGGGCTTGTTTTTCCTCTTTAGTGACTGCCTTTGCCCTCAACAGAAGTCTGGTCTGATGTAAACTGAACTACAAGTGCATATTTCTTCCAATATTCTCCCATGAACTAGAAAAATAACTAGAAAGATTTCATTTCAGAGCATTTCAAACCAATGTGAACTAAGAGATTTGTGCTCATTTGTTTGAGTTACCTATTGGCATAGTCCAAAATGGCAAATGATTATAATTTACAAAGCTTAAGAAGCCATTCCATGTAGTCAGCTCTTTAAGTTAGCTGCCTTACTGGATAATAATGCATATTTTTGTATACATTCACATACTTCTGCTAATAAATTCATAGTCCTGTTAAAAAAAACATATGGGATCCTCATGAATACAAAATGGATTCAGTATGACAATTAGCAAGCCATGCTCTAAAATTCAAATCAGTAAGCACCTGTTTGGCTCTGAAAATGAAATATTTTAAAGCCACAGAAGTCTTTCCAGTACTGAAAACCCATGTGAAATATTAGAACTACATAATACCATTAAATTTTATCTCATGTACTGGCACCATTTTTACATTAACCACTTAATGCTTCTCCTCTTCTTCTTGTTAAATAACTTATGCAGCTAAAGAAGCAGTGTGAGCAGTGTGCTGGTTGTTTCCACACCTTTCCTGTTAATGTCTGCAGATAGTTTAATGCAGATTAAACTGTTATATGACAGCAAACAGTATATTCCCAGTTAGGTTATGCGCTCTATCCAGATACAGAATAACAGAATATATCCTGACAACAGGGGCCAATACTGCAGGAGTTCTTGTGGAGATGCAACCCAAATCATTCCAGGCAATGTAAGCATTAGTCATAAGTCCCACTGAAAGGGACATATAACCCAGTCTATAGATATTTACTTGGAACCCACTGAATTAATGAAATTAAGTGTTCATAGGAGTGCTGACTAAGTTGCAATTAATTCCCTCTTATGTAATTGTAACATTTGTTTGAAATGACTCTACCAACACCAGGACCAAGAGCATCTTTTAAATGAAACCTTCTAGTTGCATATAAACTAACTATGAAAATTGAAAAATCTATTGACAATGGTTGAGTTTTAGATTTCATAGAAGACAAATACCACATTTCTTTGCTAAAATAAGAATGAACAATTAATGCTTGCCTCTAGGGCACTCAATAAATATTAACTAAACGTTTACATGTTATAGGCAGAAACTTTAATATGATGAATCAACTGAATTATCAGAGCTTATTAGGTACCTTTTATAAACAGCAACAGCAACCACAACTGTTAACCAGTGATCCAATCACAAAATTTATAGTCTAAGTTGCAGACTTTATGTACTGCAAATTTGTGCTGTTTCTGAGAAAGAAACAAATTTAGTATTTATTTGGTTGACTCATTACATCTGACTCATCCACAAGCTACCATCTCTTTGGCTCAGGCAATTTTGCTGATCTGGTTCATTATTTTAGTTCCTTCAATCTAGTATAAGCTTAGATTGACCTAACATAAGAAAAGGATTAGATTAATCCAACATAAGAAAAACTTTACTAGAAACTCTGCACTTCAACAGTGCAGGGCTCAGCTATTTGCAGAATCAGTACCATGTCATTTCTGCCAGACAGATGCAGGCGTTGCACTTCAATTGCCTTTCACCAGATTCTGTTTGGTTCTACGCACACAGAACAGTATTTAACTAAAGTAGTGTTTGTTTCTAAGCAAGCAAACACTACTGGTTTTGCAACTGAACACTGCTTTAGGCTTGTACCCAGAAAGAAAGGAGTAGAGAAGGGATCTCCATGTATGCACTGAGTCCTTGCAACTGATCTCTGCATGAACTGGGGTGTTAGAGTTCCAAAACAACAAGGACAAACTAGAGAATGAGTTTATGTGAATTTGTTTCTAAAATGTCCTTATTTTAATGGAATTTGTGAATACTTTATTTTGCAATGCAAATGTACCTGGCACTTGTCCCTTTGGTTAAATGCAGGCCCATACCATAGGAAGTAAACCAACCACAGAGATGCCTTTTAAAAAAGATTACAGGACCGTATTGATGCCAAGACATTGTATGGGTGAAAGTAGCAAAGCAATCAACAGTCCTTGCCATGGTGTTTCTCTTGATTTGTTTCTTAGTGCTAAATAGTTTAACATGCAATTCCCAGCCAGTGGAGCAATGCGAAATGGTAATGTGCTGAACAAATTAGTAAAGCCTGTAGCAGTGCCATTAAATTGCACCACACTATCTCACTGTCCACTAGTGAGATTCTATTGTACTAGACACTGCACTCATACAATACAATAGTACTTATTGCCTTAGCTTATTTTGCAATGATGGGGAAGTGGGAGTAAAGTAAGTCATCAGCCGTGAAAATGCATTCAAATTTCCTGCTGCTTAGATAGGCCCGGCACTGGAGGGAAAGAGCACAGGAGCTTTGCTAAAAACAATGAAACATTTACTAATTAATTCTGTCCAGTGCCAGGGTTTAAAAAGCTACAGCTGGTTGTACTTCTAATCTGATTTCTTATTTTATGAAATACAGCAAACAGTTGCTTCAGAAGAGAACTAGAACTAATGTCATAAATAATTTGTCAGTTCTCTGTTATGCATTTGCTTGCCAGTGAGATTTTTCACTCAACAAAAGCAATTAGGAATACATGAACAATTCATTGTACCTTCTCTCTTCCCTCATTCCCTCTTGTGTATTAGCCTGACAAATAAGCCTGCAAAAGCTACTAGATTTACTGCTGTCCTTCAGTGACAAAAAGGGACAGAGAACCACATTTCTAGGGCTGGCGCACAGAGATGTTCTCTCCCTTAATATCTAAAGGGTTACTATGCTGGACAGAGCAGAGGAACAGAGCACTCCATCCCTCCTCTGCCAATTTGCCCACCTGCCTCCATGCAATTCTTTGTCACCCAGGTCTACCAGGCTAGTATTAGCCTCCCTACAATAGTGGGACTGCTGTGGATAAATATTTATATAAATTGTTTTTAAACAAATATGAACCACTTCTTATACTCCTTAACAATTCTGTGGTTAGATCTTTCTTTTTCATCCATCCCTTTCTCAAACTAAAACAACATTTAACTTACTAAACTATCAGCAGTCTGATTTATTCCTACTGAATGGGGAAAAAGCTAACTAGTGTCCAGTCTATCCAAAGGAACTTCTAGAAATACATTACGAAAAACCTTGCCTATATCAGAAATTTATATTTTAACCTGGCTACCTGGTTAAAAAGAACATTTTTTCTGTTCTTATATTTTTTAGTGTAAATTCCTGCATATACAGTACCACCACCACATTTTAAAGGACTGCAGTGGTTCCTGGGAGTAAATTTTACCTCAAGGGGTGAGTTCTTCCCTGATTTTATCTTGACACAAAACTGAAGACTGTTATGCAAACTTCATTGAGTTCTTATTTGTAAGGTTGTTTGAGGGGACCTTCATTGGGCTATTGGGGTATATCAGATGCCTTCCATTATCTACTACAGGCCCAATATTTCACCTAGGCATTGCCTGTTTGTTTGTTTGTTTTGCTTGCTCTTTCTTTTGGGTCTAGTATATCCCAACAAATTTTGTGTTAGACTACAGTTTTTAAATGGATTTATTTATTGATTTATATCCTGCCTTTTTCCTACAAAGGGCTCAAGGCAGCTTACATCTCCTCCTCCATCATATCCCCACAACAGCAATCCTGTGAGGTAGGTTGGGCTGAGAGTCTGTGACTGGCCCAAAGTCACCCAGTTGGCTCCATGGCTGAGTGGGGACTAGAACCCAGATCGTCTGAGTCCCAGTCCCATGCTCTTAACCACTACACCACACTGGCTCTCAATAAAATGTATAAAACGGATACTAATAAAATGTATTTTTCCCTGAAACTGCAGACAGTCTTAAAATATATTTCTAGGAAGAACTTTAAAGATATCCATTGGGCCCCAGTAGTGCTATCCATTGCAATATCACTTACAATCATAAGTTTGTGAGTATAAGCAATACACAATGAATAAAAAAACCCCAGACCTTCAGATTTTAAAGACAGGAAATTCCCTCTGTTAAGCATGAAACATCGTTCAATCAAGGGCTGCTCCGTTCCCTTTAATGCTTTGTTGGAGAATTCATTGAGTCTCATATATTGTGGCACATATGGAATTTCTCCAACAAAGCAGCAGGCGTTATGCCACAACACGATTTGTGCAGCTCTTGCTTAATACAGAGTTCTTTGGGAGCATTGCAGCCCCATGGAGCTATGGACGACAGCCTATTTTTTTCTGCTATCATTGTGACATAGTAAATGCTAATGACAGTGCAACAGATGGAAAGCATGTGTGTGTGTGTGGCTATTGTTTTATTCACTATACATTTGGCTGAGTTGTGCAACTGGAGCTAATGTTCTCAGCTTTACTGTTAATACTGTTCATTCACTTTCTGATTGCATAATCAGCTCTTAACTCATTTAAATCTATACAGATGGAATGCATGCAAACACACACCCAGGCACATAGAAAGTTGGATGGAAACCAATGCTTGCCATGCACAGACCCATTTCTCCTGAAATCTAAGAACCTGGAATAAAAGCAGATCTTCTTTTCTGTTCTACATGAGAACATGAAATTTCA